AACCATACTTGATTGAATTCTATTTACCAAGGAATTTTTTAATTTCTACACACATCTACTTCATCACTCATTGTATTCACTCAATGTCTACCAAATAATCTTCCCATGTGCTATATTGTATGCTTTTACGAAATGACGCAGATATTTCATTTCTGAACTCTGCTATAAATTATTCTCTTCCAAATTGCTATACCCTCACTAAGTGATTAATATGACTGTTAAACAGACTTCTGGTTTTATATCAATAAAGCTCTGAGATTGATTTGATTTTTGTTTTACCTTTTATTGAATCCTATATTAAAATAAATTACATACATACATAAGAATTATGGTTTATTCGTCTTCCGGGTTTGGACCGTGTCATTTGTGAGTGACCCAAAAGTGGGTTCATCTCCTGAGATGAACCCACTTTTGGGTCACTCACAAATGACACGGTCCAAACCCGGAAGACGAATAAACTGAGATGAACCCACTTTTGGGTCACTCACAAATAACACGGTCCAAACCCGGAAAACGAATAAACTATAATTCTGACTCTGGCAGTGGAAGCCTACGATTACATACATAAGTGTCATTTGTAAGGGGTTGACCAGTAGCACCTAATAATAAGAAGGTCCTAATTTACAATATTTAGCTGCATTTAAAATAACAAAAAATATTTATGAATGCTGTTTTATACTTATTCAAAACTTGTAGCTTCTCATAACACAAATTATAATTTTGTAATAGTAATTGGACTATAATGTACAATAAGAGCTATAAAATCAATATTATGGAATCTGACAATAATGAATAGGTACGTAAACATGCACATTTCATTTACTGGCTTAAATTTTTGTAATAAAAATTTACTTGGTAAACTTTTAAAAGTATGTATAAAATATGCACTTGCATTTTTCCTTTCTTCAGTTATTAGTCCTCAAATCTACTTCAAATGTTTTCCTGTTTTGATTCTACCCCAATTTAAAATCCTATAAGTTTAAAAACATTATGAGTTACAAATAGATTATAACAGACAACTGAATACATGTTGGGAGAAATTTCACTGCTTTTTAGGCAATGCATTTTTACCTAAAACACATAGGTAATCTACGTGTTACAACTAATTTAAATAATTTTAATTCTTCCATTTATTTAAGTCATAATTACCATTTTCTAATAATTTAGGTTATGGTTATGTTATTGTCATCGAGCAAAAAGACAAAAGAGGGAATGTAAAGGTAGTGGGGGTAAACATATTGATAGACAGGAAGTGCTATTTTGAGAGGCCACTTTAAAAAAGGAAAGAGAATCTCTTTCCTTGTTTAAGAAATCAAATTTAGTTGGGTTATGTTATTGTTGATGTTATTGTTTGTCAAAACTGTCACATGAAAGCTTATTTATATTTTCTATTGAAGTTTTTTAACATTTTAAACTATTATCGTTATTAATTAATTAAAACTTTATTGTGTTCTAGTGTTAAAAAAAATATTTTAATAAATAATTTTAATAAATAAATAGATAAATATATAATATAAAATATTATGTAATATAAAATAGATAAATAGATAAATTAGAACCCCTACACCACTGTATGATTATTGTCAAGTGTTATGAAATTTAAATTTGGCGCATTTGCATTTCCGGATATGTCCGCCATCAGAGGCCACTTTTTTGGTCTCCTTTTCATAACGATTAGATTCCCTCTTTTGTCTTATTGCTCGATGGGTATGCATAATACCTATACACGGGCGTAGTCTTATATATTTTAATCAGGCGCCGCGTGTATATATTTTATTCACACTTTTAATAGACTTAATCTTAATGATTATTATTTTTTTTCTATAAACATGTTCCTAGAAATATGATCTAAATACGATTCAGCCATAAAATTTTTACGGCGCCACGGACCCAATTGCAAAATATAGTTTGGCACTTAATGTGTTAATGGAAAACACTCAAAATGTTAATTTTATTAGAAATATTTTGTTAACCGACGAGGCTACCTTCAGTAGAAATGGAATAACAAACACGCCGACGAAGAACCTCACGCCAAAAAAAACGACTCATCACCAAAGGACTTTCAAAGTTAATGTTTAGGCAGGAATTGTGGATAACAATCTAATAAGCCCAGTATTTCTTCCCAACAATTTAAATTGTGATAATTATTTGCATTTCTTGGCAAACGATTTAGAAGAGTATTTGGAAGAAGTGAATATTGCAATAAGGCAAAATATGTGGTTTCTACAAGATGGCGCTCCACCGCATTACAGTAATGAATTCCGAGAATACCTTTGCAGACAGTATCCTGGTCTGGGAATTGGAATTGGTCGTGACGCACCTACTTCTTGGCCACCTAAAAGTCGAGGTCTTAACCCTATGGACTTATGCTTTTGAAGGTTTATGAAAGAGAAAGTGTATTCTGTAACAATAGAGGACGAACAACAATTGAGGGTTAGAATAATTAAGGCTGCAAATCAATTTCGTCAAAAAAATATGATTTTTTCAGCGCATTCGGTTTTCCTTTAAAACGATACCGAATGTGTATTGAAGTAAATGGGGGTCATTTTGAACATAAATTGTAATATCATATTTATAGTGGTTATAGACTTTTTTGTACTTGTTAATTCATTTAAATCATTTATTTAGTTGCACGTAATTGTTTAAAGGTTAAAGAACAGGTCCGTAACTCAATAAAAACTGTTTTTTGAAAAAAGTGATAGGAGGCAAAAAATTTTTAAAAATATTGTGTTAAACTAATGATGCCACAAAATTCATTTCATTTGAACGTACTCAAAAGTTTGGGGGATTTAGGGGTGCACACCCTCCTAAAAATTTTTTTGGGGGGTGTGCAGTGCAGCCCTTTAGAATTTTTTCTGTGCGCTTAGATTTTGTTGTTTCTGTTTTATGAAAAATGTTTGTCGACTTTTATTACAAAATATCAAGTAGTTTAGGAGATAATGCAAAAAACAATTTTTTTTTTGTAACTTCAAAGGGCTGTAACTTTTTGTGTGTACACTTTTGTACTAAGATAAGTTGGATTCAATCAATTTAATTTTGTCCTTGGAATGCGTGATTTAATTTCTGACATACCCTTTTGAAACACCCTGTATATTACAAGATAGACCAGCAATACCAGCATGTTCCTCAAGTGCAACAGGGGAAACTGATGCAAAGCAGGCCCTGCATCTCGTTCAAATGTGCCGGGTTTATTGACCAAATAACCTTTTCATTGTCACTTAAGTGATTGGTTTTGTAGGAATTATTTTTGTTTAATATTTAGGCCAATTTCAACTTTTCGACAAAATGGTAGGACCAACATTGTTGCATTTGCGATTTCCTACAATTTGTTTTAGCAAGTTTTTTCGTGAGATTAATATTTTCTGAGTTTAGAGGAATGAGGAGAAATACTGACAAAACGTAAATATGAATTTATATCGTTTATTATTGACCTTACGACGTAAATGTAACACGACAACACAACACAAGAAGGTACCTAAACAAATATTGAGAAAATTATATTTTATACAATTTTGATTTCTTTGATTTTTCTGCCCATGACAGTTTGTTTATACATGATAGAGTGCTATGACAGCTTGTTTGTCAGTTTATTGATAGACGCTATTCGGATTAGACGAATTAAAATTAAAATAGAGCAATGTTTTTTGGGTGGAGAAGCTACAACCAAAAATAATATTGTTACAGTTCAAAAACGTGGTGTTCAAACTCTTTTATTATCAAGCATTATCTGTGGTGATGAATTACACAACTGTTTGCTCGAAAATGTTAACAGAATTAGAGTGTCCCGTCTAACCCGAAAAAAGTTCAAAACAACTTAACAAACAAAATAGACCCTATATTTGATGACAAAAACTTAAAATTTTAACTTATTTTTGTGTCCAAAATTTGGCATTTCTGCCCAAGACTCCAACCTGGTTCTGATAAAGCTATCTCTAGAAGTAGCATCAGTTAAATTCTACGAAGGCTCTGCAATCAGTTTAACACATCTTTCCACAGATTGTGTGTGGCAGGTAAAGTCAAAAATATCCAAGCTTTTATCTTTTACCATGATGTGAAGGTCCTCAGTAGAAATATGCCGAAGAACCGACAATCCTGACATTCGTGCCACATAATAATATCGGTGTAATCTTTAGCAGATAAGTGAACTTTTGGTGTTTTAAATATTCTGCGTTTATCGCTACTTTCAGTGTCCCTAACTTTTTTTATTCTTCGCCATGCCAGCTCCCTAAAGTGATCTCTATCATCAAACAACATACTCACAAGTAAGTTTTCTGGGTGTACAAAAAAGACATTTCTTTCGATAACGGTATTCACAACAGATATTCGGGTAGAAATCGAGAGTACATAATTAGTTGAAAAATATGCTTCGCTCCATTCCTAAGATACGCTTTTTGCTTAATTCTGAACCACATCGAATCATATACTTTAACATCATAGTTTACAAGCAATTGTAAATTTTCTGATGGATTCAGCGTACTCACATAAAGTCTGAGTACACGATTAGCAGTAGTAAGCCATCTGGACTGCGCCATTTTCCATGTTAACGGTTTGCCAATTCAGGAGTACAGAAACCGGTTAATACTGCTTGACATATTTCGTATAGATATTTTGATCTGTACTTATTCTGACAATTTGCAAGTCGCAATACTCACGCAGAAAAGTCACGTTGGTGTATTTCATTAGTAACTAACTGTTTTCCAATAGGTCCGGAGTATTCTGGACCCGAAGTAGAACCATCTATAGTCGGAACAACTGACGAAACGATAACTCATTGGCATGAAGCAAACAACGCATTTCTAATGGTATTTCCAAATCTCCTCTAAATATTGAATCACGCCACCCTTCCAACTAATATTAGCTGCAGTTCCATCACATTCAACGCAAATTACATTATCTAAATTAAAACTTTGACCTTCAAAAAAAATTGTGATCGAAGTAAAAATTCCATTTGCAATGCCACGACTAGGCGTTGTATGTCACAAATAAATTGATCCGGGTTCTTATAACAATGAGATGTGTTCTTCCAAAATCTCTTTTTGATGGTAACGCTTCCCTATTTCCTTATTTATCAGGGTCTTATCCTGTCGTCCATCAAAGTAAATGCTATTTACAACAATTTCTGCAACATCTTTTGAAGCATCTCTTTGGGCTTTACATACAGATCTGCGGATTTTGTTTTTATCAATTACCAGTGTCAGACCTTCGGTAGAAACCAAACCGACGTCAACCAAAATGGCAGAAGCAACAGCAGCAGTAAACTGCATTGATAAACCGTATCTATCACTGACTTTAGCAACTGTTGGCAACCGCAACGTATTTCTATTAAACGTGGAAGTCGACGGTGTCTCTGTTGTGAAAAAGTCAGGCACTGCTTCTTCATCACAATTTGCCGATATAGAATCGGTCGTTTGAGTAGCACACAACTTTTTTGTTGCCCTCATTGATTTTTCTATTTTTCTGTGCTGTCGTTTCTTGAATCTGGCAGCTTCTTTCTTATCAACACCGCCTATAACCATTTTCCTGTCAATTCTTTGATCCAACAGAAAGTCTCTATCTTTGATGGGAATTTTTTATGTTTTAAACATAAACTAGATTCAATAGAAATACATTTACAAGCAGCAACGTCGAAAAGCTTTTCAGCTGACTTTACAAAATACATCACTTTGTTTTCAAAACTGTTATTTCGTTTGCTTTTGGGGTGTCTTTCCAAACCGAGGTACTTTTCGAAAAATATTTTAGTAATTGAATAATCCGTTTCTTAGTTACGATTGGAATCAAAGCGTTTGTATAAATAATAATAACTTCTTCAGAAAAAATGGCATATATCTCTGAATTGGATGGATCCTTTCCATTATACTTTAATTTTAGATCGTTCTTCACAAATAAAATAAAATTATAAAAATGTCATAACATCTTTTATAGTTGGTAGCTGTCGATCGTCAAGTTCGTTGTAAAATCCCATTATAGAACAAGTAGTCTCACTACGCCTAAAACTCATGATTTAAAACTCACAAAATCAGCTTTTGACACTAGAACAAACGCAACTGCTAATGATGTTTGAACGAACGACGTGTCGACCACTTCAAGCCACCTTCTCCTTCTACTCGTCTTTCTCCTACCATCAAAGCAGATATGACGTAACCAAAATTCACAGAATTTTCTAAACTTTAATGGAACGTATAACGACGCAGTATTATACAATACTACAGTACAATCTCAATTTATTTTATTTTAGGAGCCGACAAAATATCACAAAAATGACAATTTTTCCAAGCTTTGAAGATCGGTAGAACCCTTAAGATATATTTTTATTTTAATTTTAAAAATACTGTGATAATCTATTGGCAATTACATAAATTTTAAGAGGTCTTGCATTAAATAATGTTTTATATTTAGCTCAGGATGCGAAATTAAGTATATTATAGTGAAATATTACCATAAAAATGACAATTTTTCGAAACTTTAAAGTTCGGTAGAACCCTAAATGTATATTGTTATAATTTTTTTTTAATTCTTGTGATAATTTACGAGCAATTACCCCAATTTCAAGAGGTCTTGTATTAAACAAAAACAAAAAGCGATTTTTCAGAACACCCTAATTATCATGCGTCAAATGTGTCAGAAAATGTATGCGAACAAAAGGTTAGCGGAACTGTCACGTAGAAGAAGCAGCGACGCATCAGATTATCATTGTCATCAAGAATATCAAAGCCATTGCTGTACCGATTATGTTTTTCCTACCACATTGGGTATCAATTATAGGGGATTAAAACTGGGGACAGAAATTACTGGGCTGAAGATAGGGTAAGCAAACAAACCGGAACGTTTTCGAACGACCACTCTGGTTTGGTTGGAGAGCTGAAGTGAATAAACGAGTGAATAAACGAGGGACTGGAAAGAGGTAACTACAAAAGAAGAAATCAAAAAGTACTTACATAGATTTCCTGGACAACACAACACAAGAAGGTTCTTAAACTACTTAAATTTGGACGCCGTTTACAAGAATCTTTATGCTGGATGGAAAGGTAGACTTTTCTTTCCTTGTATCACTGACTGATGTATTTTCTTTAACAAATTCTTGGTATTAGAATTGGATTAAAGCACTGCAAAGAAACACAAATGCGTCTTACTCAAGCTGCAAAATGGTCTGAAATGACGAGGGAAAACAAATATACGATTCTTTGGAAGTTGGGCAATGGATTTGGCCTCGAATTATCTTTGTTGCAATCTTCAAAAACTTAGCCACTCAAGTTCTGGCTTAAAACCATGTGGACTTCTTAAATTGTTGTAACGCTGTTTTATAAATCTCCCACATTGAACACAACACATCGGTAATTAATTCAACAAAACTGCCACATTGCCTTTGATTAAATTAACCTCTCCACAATAGAAATTATGTCTGCTTTTTTAGATTACACACGCTGCATCGTTTCCCTTCATGATCTCAATCCCAACTTAACTTCAACTGCTACATGCTACTAAACTTCACTATTTCCGATAACAAAAACGAATAACGAAAAAATAACTTTCGATAAAACCGAATATATGAAATTCTCGCCCTACTACTTAAAAAACGATTAGAAATATATGTAGAAAAGAATCTATGAGAATACCAGGGAGGATTTCGTAAGGAAAGATCAACAACTGATCAATTTTTTATGCTAAAACAAATCCTGATCAATTGCTATGAATACAGCATTTCAGCACAAGTACTTTTGATTGATTACAAAGCCGCCTACGATACAATAGACAGAAACAAATTAATAGAAACGGTAAATTGGTAAAAATGACAATTAGACAAACCATTTCTAGGTAGAGTCTGGTAGAGTCTCAGAAGAATTCGAAGTGAAAAAGGGTGTTCGCTAAGGAGACCTGTTGTCTATATTGCTATTCAATATAGTTTTAGAAAAATTTGTAAGGGTTAGTGGGATAAATAGGTCTGGCACTATTTTATATCAAGAGTACCAATGCTTAACATACGCAGATAATGTGGTTCTCATTGCAAGAAATGGAAAATAACTGGCAAATATAGCAAAAAGACTGATTCGGGAAAGCTTTAAAATGGGACTGAAATTTAATATTAATAAATCCAAATACATGGAAATCTCGAACAAAAAAGTAATAAACACCAGGGGATCCTATAAATTGGAGGTGGAGGATGGATCAGCTGTAGAATTCGAGAAGGTGGATGAATATATGTACTTAGGTAATTTTATTGATCAGACATTAAGGAAGAAACTGAAATCAACCTGACTGGCCAAGAGCAACAAGTGTGGTGGAGCCGTGAGCAAAATGGTTAGGGCCAAAGATATATCTCGTAATACAAAAATTAGAGTAAACAAAACTATAATTAGACCCATAATGCTATACGCTGCCGAAACATGGACTATAAAAAAACCATACAGAATAGATTGGAAGCATGGGAAAGAAAAATACTTCGCAGAATGTTTGGTGAAAAAATAATAGAGGAAGAATGGAGAAGAAGAAGAAATATTGCTTCCAAAGTACCTGAGGGCAAAAAAAAGGAGGAACGCCAAGAAAGACATGGAGAAATGTAGTGATGAAAGATATCAGAGAGATGGGAATCAGAGATTGGAAGCTGATAGCTAAGAACAGAAAACGATGGAAATTATCAATCCAGCAATGGGCCTAAAAGGCCTGTTAACGCTGTCCATACATACCAGATTGTAGTTTTATATGTTTAAAAAAATATTTTTTCGTTATTTCTTAATTTTTATATTATAATTTTTATGCCAATTTGGAGGCCCCACATATTACAGGTCCGAGGCTGACCGGCCCCCTTGTTACGCCACTGTGTGCTTATGTCTGAATTGTCAATATGAATGAATCCGATAAAATAAAAGAATTTTTTCATAAAGTAACAAAAAACAAAATGTGTTTAATTTATAAACGTTTTGTATTTTGAGTGCGATTTCCGAATTGTAAATAGAAAACTTAAAATAAACTTATTTTAAAGTAAAATTGTTGAATATTTCCAATAAAAATTGCAAATTGCATTAAGATGTCAAAAGAAAATAGCTTCAGAAAAAGGGTTATTATTATATTATACTTATATACACTGAACAAATGTTAAAATTAATAATAAACCAATAATATTTGTATGACTTACCAATTGACTGTATAATTCCCGCACTTTTAAGGTATACTGATTCATCATTTGATTGAGTACCAATTTCTGAACTGTTCAGACATACAAGTCCAAATCCATCTAAAAGGCAGTAGGCCTGTACAGAATGAGATTTATTGAATGTCGAAGAATAAAGGGATCCATTTTTTTGTATAAAATAGTCTTTCATTTCATGTAAAAATATTTCACCATTTGATATACAAGGATGTCCACTTACAACAAAATAATCTGATAAATCAGATGTTAAATACAGTTCTGAGTTGTTGTGAAATTTAAATAAAGGATTCATATCTTCGTTCCCACATTCTAGTTCTGGGTAATTTAGTTGATCATTTTCAGAACAACAACGCCGTATGCAGTTCCTTACTTGACAAATGCATCCCCAAATGTTACCATTTTCCACAAAATATTTGTTTTTTTCAAACGTCATATTTTGAAAAATATACTTCGTTCCACTTTTCGTACCGTTTGAAATTTCGATACTTAACGATTTCGAGCACGGATGAGTTTCGAATGAATATACAGAACATATCACTATTAAACTTATGCAAATTGGTTGATACATTTTACAAGTCCCTTAAGAGAGATAATTTTATCAGCAAGAAGCGTTTTTAAATATGCTTATAGTATTGTTAAAAATACACCAAGAACTAACTGCATAAAATATCTCGGAACTAGATATAGCTACTAGTGCTGCAACGTGTTGTTGCTTTGTATATTATACTGACTTTAAACTTAATTTATTAAAGAATTAATCTTCTATTTATACACTATTGCTAATTGAATGGACATTTCATGTATGACGTTTCGAAAATACAATATCATACATATGTAGATACCATTTAGTATAATTATAATGCTGCACAACAACCTGAACAGTTGAATTTTTAGTGACTAGTTATTTTTATTAAACATAATTGCATTGCAAAAATGATTTGCATGTGATTTGCCTGGTATGTAATTGCATACCAGGCGACAGCAAAACAGATATATAATACATACACAAGTTTTAAATTTAGTTATACACACTATAAACGGCAACACTGTGCGTCATCGACTTTCCACGAGCCTTTATCATCCACGTATTTTATTTACATCATTCAACCAGTAAAGATTCGATCATGAACGATCTAAGTAATAAAGGATTCAAGATAGTAGATGTGAATTTATGAGATCTCAGATATCATGAGCGTAAAAGTGCAAATACTTCCGCTAAGAAAATCAAAATTGGTAGGGGAGACTGGTGTCAATTGTAACAGATGTCGTTTATAACAATAGTGATATTTGCGCCATCTTTTGAAATAACTCAAAACGCACTAATATGCATAGACGGATATCTACCTCACACCACCGATTGTAGTTTCAGAGTTAGCCGTAACATGATACTATAACAAAACAAGATGTTCTTGTGACGTAAGCCCGAGACAACTTTAATGACGGCAAGTTAAATGCTCATAAGTGTTCATGTTAATTATGTTGCTGTGTTAATCGAGTTTGCTATCTTGTGTATTTCGGAACGTAGTGAATGATATTTTTATTCATTCATTGATGTAGTTAAGACTTTGTATATTATATTGTTATATAAATTTTGGGGTGAAAACATTCAGTTCATTTAATAAAATCCCCAAGCGCTAAAACATCGCCTGGAAAAATACGCAAAAGAATAATAATGTGATAGAATTTTGCAAAACCAATTTCATTGCTCTACTTTCGTTTCCGCCGCAGACTTCACATAGGTATGCTTCAACCTTTAGATCATGGGGTACATGGTCCGTTTAAGAAATATTTTAATAATGCTGGTGATCAGTGGATGAAAAATAATCCTGGAAAAAGAATGGCTATATACGATTTACCTTCAATTGTAAGAACATCACTTCCTTTGGCCACTACGCCTGTCAAAATTCTTGCTGATTTCTCCTGCACTGGTATTTGGCCTTTCAATCAAGAGATTTTCAACAATAGTGATTTTAATGCATTAATTGTAACTAATAGAGCTCTATATGAAAAAAAAACATAGAAAATAATCAACCAAAATCACCTACAGTTCAACAAAACAGTCACTTGGAAAGTCAACCGGGTCCATCCACTACCTTGTTACCAAAAATACACACTACTCCATCACCCAAGCCTAATAATCCAGCAGTATTTATTTCGCCTCAAGATATTAAGCCATTACCGAAAGCAGACCTAACCAAGCCCAAAAACGGAGGAAGAATGAGACGAAAGACAGCTATTGTGACTGATACACCAGAGAATACGCTGATTAAAGAAGAAAATTAAAGAACGGGGGCACCTTCAAGCGTAATGTTCAGCTTGAACATAATCGAAAGAAAAAATCTTTGCCAGATTTGCCATTGAAGAAAAATATCAAAAAGAGAAGAGCACCCCTGAAAGTAACCGAAAAAGATTCTTCTGAGTCTTCCGATGTGGAAGTTTTGTGCTTGGTATACGGTGGTCCATATTCATCTAGCTCCAAAGATTGGTTACAATGTCGATAATGTAAGCACTGGGCACATTTAAACTGTATAAATAAAGCCTATTCTACATTTGCTTCAATTGTGAATCTGACAGTGATTAGTTTTTCTCTGTAAAAATATGTTACCAGAATTTGTTATTGTTTTTATTTCTAATGCTTACATATATCTATTATTTTCTGTCATTGTAATATGAAATATATTTTTTACTACTTCCTATTTAATATGCCAGCAGATTAACCAGCTCTGTTACTATTGACACCAATACGGTCTCAATTGTAACGCATGAGGTAACCTGACACAAAGGGTCATAATTTCATTTCTGTAATACTTAAGCAGCTTTTAAGCCAAATATACTGTGTAATAGAATACCTAGTACAGGTTACAGTAAATTAAAAATTTAACAAAGCTCAACTTAGTAAAAAAAAAATCAATTTGTGACATTTGTTACAAACCGACACCAGTCTCCTCCTACCTCAATGTAAGAGATGTCAGGCATATGGACACACACAAGGTTACTGTGCGAAAGAACCAAGATGTGTCCGCTGCACAGGAAAACACCTAAGAGGCAAATGTGAGAAACCCAAGGACGCAAAACCTAAATGTGTCCACTGTGGAGAAGGGCATCCAGCTAACTATAGAGGATGTATCGTGGCAAAGGAAATACAAAAAATAAAAGATAAATATAACAAGAAACAGACCTTAACCAGACAACCACAAACAATGCATCAAAAACCTGTAAAAAATTCAAAACAAGAAGAAAACAAAACAAGAACTTATAGTATGGTAGCAGCTGGTAAAAGTAACGAAGAAGACTATAGTAGTCAAAAAGATCTGAAAATAAAACAAACACTACAAAAAATATTAGAGAGATTAACTAACCTGGACGAGCGTATAACCAGAATAGAATATGGCACCAAAGGACCTATACCTAAAAGACTTGATAATGGTGGGTAGTTTACGAATAGTAGAATGGAATGCAAATGGCATCTTGAATATTGAAACATCAGCAAGAACTACAAGCTATACTAGATATAGAAAAAATACGCATATGCCTCATTTCTGAAACCCATTTTATGAATGAGTCATATATTAGATTTAGGGTTTATAAAACCTATCATACTACTCACCCTGATAGTGCAGTCAAATGAGGTAGTGCAGTAATAACCAAAGAAAATATTATGCACTCTCAGGACATGGGATACAGAACTAAAGAATTTCAGGCCACATCAGTAAAAATTAAATGTAAAAACTAAGAGGTAATCGTCACAGCGGTTTACAGTCCGCCAAGACATGCCATCAAGAAAAATCTCCTTGTAGGAGACTTCAATGCAAAACATACGCATTGGGGGTCACGAGTGACTGCCACCAAAGGGAAAGAATTTTTAGAAGCAATGATACATAAAATGCGACGTAATAACAACGGGAAAGTCAACATACTGGCCTACTAACACAAATAAAATCCCAGACCTTATCGACTTCTTTGCAGTCAGAAATATTTTAACAAATTACAGAAAAGGCATTAGATATGAACTCGGACCATTCTTAAATTATTCTCACACTTAGTGACACTGTTATCAAAAAAGAAAGCCCCCTAGACTTGTTAACAAAAATACTGACTAGAAAAGTTTCCAGACAGACCTTGAAGAGAAGAATAACTTCTCAGTTTCATTAAAAATCGTTGATCAACTAAAGGCAGAAGTAGAATTACTCAATAAAAATGTACAACAGCTGCTTGGAACAACAGCACGATCAGTGACGAAAAAAAAACGAAATAACTACCCAAAAGAAATCAGAAAACTGATAACCGAAAAAAGAAAACTGAGACGCAAGTGGCACCAGTTGATAAAACTAGATTAAATAATGCCACACCATTAAAAAGAGAAATTTAAAAAATTAAAAACGAATCGGTTAGCATCTACCTAAGTGAACTACCAAATGATAGCGCTACTGATTACTCATTGTGAAATGCTACCAAACGATTAAAAAAGCCAATATAGAAATACTAATGGTAGCTGTGCAAGAAACAGTATACAAGAGGCCAACAGGTTTGCTGACCACCTATAAAATACTTTTCAACCACCAAATGAAGAACAAGAAATAATTAACTGGGAGCTCCCTGATCAAGATGAAATGGAGATTAGCCCTGTAACTCCAAAAGAGTATATTTGGAAATAAAAGAAAATATAAATCCAAAGAAAGCTCCTGTATTTGATTTAATTACTGGGGAAGTGTTAAAACAATTTCCAAGAAAAGCTATAATAAAATTAACACATCTTATAAACGCTTGCTTTAGGCTATAGGTACGTACCAAAGATATGGAAGGTGGCAGAAATTATAATGACACTAAAACCACGAAATTGACGACAATTTTTTTATGAAACCATTGTTATATGTATATTCGATTTTCGGGAACAGATGTAATGATATTAATTTATTTCGATAAATTCGATTTTCGGGAACAGATGTAATGATTAATTTATTTCGAAATCAATCATTGTTTACCATTTATTTCTGAAGCTCAACAATACTCTTTGCATACCTAATACTTTTTAGCAATATATCCCAATTTTTAATGAACAGTTTATTATGTTATACTCTAAATTTCCATAAAATTAAACACAATATATAACATTTAATCCTTATAGCGACATCTATAAGTAAAAGGAAGGTAGAAATGTTTCTGTAATATCACAGAATACTGTAAATAAGTATTCTGTGGTAATATTTTTAATCGGGATGCCTGTACAATTAAAAATCATCTCAAATATATCAAATATAATTATTGGACCATTATGTTGTGGACACTTTTTAAAGCGTTCTCCGGGTCTATATTATACGTCATTGGGACCAAATTCCACCAAGAAATTTTAGAAATTTTGGCTTAAAATTTAGTTTTCAATTTTTCAGTTTAACAATTATTAAAATACATATTATATTAAAAAACATATTAGAACGAACACATTATACAGTTGTCACTATTGAAGCCCCATGATCATTAGTAATAGACTCTACATGATATAGATTTTTGAAATCAGTTTGTTAAGGTGCTTTTAAAAATATAAAAATATACAGGGTGTTCCATTAAAAAAAGTTTTTTGA